ATGTCTCCCTGCGGTGAATATACATATGTATGCAGGTAGATTGATATCATTTCCCTGGAGACGATAGAGTTTTTGATATTCGAGGGCAGGTCGTGTTTCAAATCAAAGAATCGGCTTCAGCCACTTGCGCAGACGTCAGCTTTGCTAAATCTGCCCGTATCGGACCTCCGATCGTGCCTTATATAGGTGATTTGACCATGCTCATTGACTTATCATCAAAAATGCTCCATTCGATCGTCATAGCTCAGCGTCAATGCCTGTTCTCCGCTCGAGAAATACGCTCTGATAAACTCTCAGGCTCCGCGCCATCGAGGTTCCGAGAGACTAAATATTTAGTGATAACTCGAAATTCGAATTATTGAAAGCTGCAGGCCAACGCCAGCATTCCCATCTTCCCCTGCGTTCGAATTCGATCCGAAGTTCACAAGAATATATTTTCTTCAACAGTTGGTTGACATCCACGTCTACGTCATCCGGGAGGACGTTTGGATCGCCCACCGGAAACTCGCGGAGAACTCGACCGTCGTCAACGATGCTGTTTCCGCCGGGTTCATCAGGTAGGCACTCATGAGCTAGATGGAGACAATCACAATCGATGGAAAATCTGAGCCGATTATACATTCCGAAAGCGCGGTCCCGAGTCCCTCGGAAACGGTGAATACTCACCTTAGAGAGACGGAGCTCCTTATAGATCTAAAAAACAACCTTTGGCAACTTGATCGAATTCCTCTCGCCCTGTAATCTGGAGGCAGATAATGTCTAGGACGAGACAACGAGATTTTCCGAATGGGATTAAAACTTCAGAAATACTGACTCAAGGTCGATCAGTCCCCCTGATGTTTAAGCTGTTTCCTTCCGGACGCTCAGCCGCCTTCTTCAAATCTTCCAAATTAGATTTTTCGCTTCTGCCTCAGGCGACTGTCCAGAGCGAAGCTCCCCGGGGGCTTGGTCGGGCTTCCGAGGGTTGGGAGGGAGGCGGGGGACAGAAGGCTAACAGTGGCCTTTTGAGTTCAGGATTACTTCGCTTCGCTCGCTGTCCGATTCTGGATTTTCTCCTCAAAGTACGCGTATGGCCCTTGAAACATCGGAAGCGTCCTACATGACGCTCTCGAAATGCTTCTGGCACTATCTGAGACGCTTCGGTTCTTTTCAGAGTGATTCCGACGATGAAACTCGAAGAAATTCGTGAGGAAATCCACGAGCAGCTCGGATTCGACAACGTACCGTTGACGTTCGTATTCCTTCGAAGCGTGGGCCGGAATTTTACACAGGTACGGATACCAGCGAGGAGCTTCAATGCTTTTTCGGAAAGGACGGACTGTGATCTCTGCGGAAAAGTCCTCGAGACCCTCAGAGAGATTTCGTCATTTCATCGCAATCCTTTTACTGACTGAGTCGTTGATCGCATCTCCATGGATCCACAGCCTCTCAGATTGAAACTCCAGATGAGCTCCGATGGTGACTAGCCCCGCAGGCGCATCGTCCTATTATGCTGCCCGAGGCTTGAGTTCTCTGTTAATTGAAGACGAATGCTGGGGCCATGATTGGGTTGAGTTCTCATAATCGAGGAGGGACCGTTTCCCCGAAAGGTCCGGCAGGCCACTGCTGACTGTCAGCAAGCTCGGGCTGATTGTGAGTCGTTTGAGGTGAGAAGTGCCTTATTGGGACATGGCGCCGATGCCCCGCGTCCGAGACTGCGCCAGCGGCTGGTCCGGAGAGGCTTCGATAGCTCGGAAAACTCGCGCGCTGTTGGAGAATTATCACGGATCATGCTCCGATGTGTCTCTAACTCACCATTGTGCACGAATTTCCGAGGAGTTCTGTAAAATGGGGGAAATACCCCGCTCCCGGGAAACACACAACTCGCTCTCTGCTGTTCAAACGTTCCCTCGACGTCCCTCGATTCTGCTCATGCCATTCCCTGATTCAGTGACACAATCACGATCGGATATCGGTGCGTCGATAAGCGGTAAGGCTGATGACTTCGGAAGATATTAACATGGGCCGGTGTCAGGGGAGGGGAAGGATTCGCTCTACCTCCCTCACCCGCGATGCAAATCCCTGATACGATTTAGATCCTTGAGAGAAGCGACGGCTGACACCTGAGGGATTCCGGAATCCGGCGCTGACTTCGAGTTCAAGAAGCGTGACGGGAGATTTCGACCGGGAATCCATCTCGGATCTAGAAAATTCCCTATTTGAGGGCATATCTCTCTGCTCGGCTCCGCAGCAAGTTAATTCCTGGATTGACCCGGATATGGTCCTGGAATTTCACCCGCGAAGCGACCTTACAGACATTCTGCGGCGATTTCGTCAGAAATATCTTCAGCAGTCTCGTGAGACCAGCGGTTTCCATGGCTCCCTGATTTCTTGGACTTCCCTCCGTCGGAAGTGATTTCAACACCTTAAAATAAATAAAACGCTCGCGGATCAAAGAAAACCACGAAATAACACAAAGGACGAAAACTCGCTTAGCGATGGAGGATGTGTAGACCAACAACAGACCGAGAGGGATGAGTTTGCCTACCTCCTCCGTGTATGTACAACACAGTCGCAGCCCGAGGCTTCAATGTAATTATGGAGTTTTTTCCTTTGTCGTCCGAGGACGGAACTGGTCGTGTTTGTCGCCTTTGGAAGTGATGCTCCGTCACGTCCTCTCGCGTCGAGCATTTTTGGGGAACGCTCTCGTGGAAGCGCCGGAACCTCCGGCGGGTTATCTGCCGAATCGAAATACTTGTAGGACTATACCTGTATATTAGAGGGCGTTTTCGCCCAGAGCGGTTTCAACTAGAATCGTGCGGACACGGCGATTTTCGTCCGCCGGGTCCCGATGGTCACAGTCAAAGGACACAGACTCGATGAGGAATGACGCTCGGTCACTCACCGCGAGCTGCGCCCAAAATTCCGGTCTCAGACGTATTTTTCTTCTGACGTACCTGCTCATGATATTCCAGGTGAAACCTCATCAGGAGAACCAGCTCAAAGCAAAGTACTTCTGTCCACACACGGTTGGCGAACGAAGTTATATGAAGAGATTTTATACACCCGATATCTCTGTATCTACAACAATAATATATGAGCTGTGATCCTCACGATTCGTATTGGACAATCTATCGGTTGAGCACCGAGAGAGCCAAGCGGCGAATGCTTCTCGGAGGCTGGGGTAATCATTTCGCTTCAACGTAATCATCCAAAGGGGAATGAGCCATAGGAGTCCTTCATCCTTTGATGGTTTGTTTGGTTCCGACCGTATCAAGTACATATCAACCTTTCGATTCAGCCGCGAGTGGGCTCAGCCGATCCAGTGGTCACACGCTCCCATTTTCCGGGCAGTGGCTTTGTTGACTCCGAGGCAGTGCGATTGAGCTCTGTGGTCGGACCCAGTTCGATTGCGAGTTCTTCTGACGTCGAGTAGCAGTCATTGCATTTTTGATTCCGTGCTTTTTTCGGCCGGAGCCCGCCCCTAATAGCTCAATATAACCCTATGTATGATAGCCGAAATATACTGTCTGGACCAGGATCAATATGATATCACTATCAGTCGGGAAACCTCACTCTCACGCTGGCGAGTCGTCGGCGTCGCCGGACAGAGTGCCCTCACCGACGAAATGGCGGCAGGATTGACTACCCTCAAAGAAGGGAATCGCGAATGTGTGCCAAGTCAACCGTCTGCGGCAGAACTTCGCTCTCGCTATTTCGCTCCATGTTTTCGAGGAAATTCCTACGGAGCATATCGACTTCGCTCCGAAGGCGGACGTCTCAGGAGAGCTTTCACAGATCGCGACCGATCATCGCAAACAAGGCTCGCACGATTTCCGAAATACGACGCCGACGGGTCTAAAGTTTGCGCTCGCAGACATGGGCCGCATTTTCTCTCTTTCGAGAATTCGTCCTCGAGCCGAGTCTTCTCACGGAATCAACAAGCAACAAAGAGGCACTCCCCAGCAAAAATTGCCGCTCAGCTCGAAATTCCAACCATCAAGGCCTTAATCGAATCCTCTCGCCTTGCTGCACATGCTCGCGTTGGCTTCTGACGAGCTCAGCCATTTCTGGGATTGATGCCGCTTAGTTCCTACTGCGTGACGTCTCGGCTAATTTGGATATCCTCAGAAACGAAGGTGGCGAAGGCTTCCGGAGCCTAATCAAGCACAGGATTATCGCTCATGGGGAAGAATTAAAGACGCCCGCTGCGGGCCAAAAACAGGGGTTAACAAGAGAGAAAATAAAGGATACGACAACTCGAACCTCTGATTTTCGAAGGGATTCGGATGTGAATCTCAAAGTATGGGGCCTCGATCCTCTGCGGACGGTGTGAGTCGGCTACGATTGGTCAGCAATCACTTTGCTGTGTACCACGGATCTGGGTCTAGCTGGGCGCTGACCCGCGAGCGAGGGCAGCCTTCGTTGACGGCGCGAAGACCGGAAGCTCGTTTGATCCGTGTTTCGAGAGCGACGCTGATTTCAGTGATGATGATCCTGACGTCCAGATTGGGTTTCTGCTCGATTCCATTCCCGACTGGCGAGAGATCCTGAAATGGCCACACATTTGCGAGATGGAAGCTGTATTGTTGGCGTCCTGAGCAATGTATCGCGGCTGGCATTTTGACTGCTTCGTCTGCCGGTTCATTCTTCTCCTCCTTCGAGCTGTGCTCCGAGGACTATGGCTCTTTCAGAATGAATCAAAAGTGGAACAGAAAATTCCCTCTATTGGCTTCAGTATTCCTCATGGGAGGAGATTTCTGACGCTCGGAATCGGAGACATGATACGCATGAAGCGTACTTCCGGAGCCGAGCTCAGCTTCGCAGAAGTGTGTAGTGCCCCATAGGAGAGGGTAACACCAGCGTGACCCAGTCCCGAGCCCCACGACGGCTCCAAAACAGCGCACTACTATCTCTGCGTTCTCATGGACTCGTCGTGTCCGTTTCTCGTCCGCCCGGAGTCCTGCCCCTGTGTGCTCCCTATGTTTATCCTTTGAATAGCTCCCCTACTTTGTGCCTAAATGACAGCCGAAGCGTCGCAAGCAACGCCCGCGCCGTCCTTCCAAGACTCGTCGAATTCGCCGACGATCCCTCAAGATTCAACGACCGAGAAAGCGGAGGAAACGGGTCGTTCGATATTTCGGAAGTTCTCCATTTCTCTCGGAGGTCGGAAAAATTCGACGAAGTCGCTAGAGGTTTCCGAAGGTAAAACTGAGAGTGTGCTCGGAAGTATTTCATCGTCTTCGTCCGCCCCGACTGACGCAGGAAACGATGCTCCTCCTGACGAAAAACGAAAGCCCCTATCCGAGGGATCAGCAAAACAATCGAAAAACGTGAGTGATGGGCCCGCAGATGAGTTCACCTGCCCCGCATGTGATCCAGAGCTCGGCAGGAGGACTTATTCCTCAAATTGTTCGAGTAAACACTACACAGAGTTCGAGGCTAAGGTTGGGATAGGCAACGATGGGTCATCGAGCGCGGAAGCGTGCCCTTCTAGTCTTGCGCAAATGTGCGCTTTCAATCCTAGCTTGACTCGGTGATTGCAGTCCCTTGAAGCCGTCTTTTGCCCCGGGAGTTTTACTTCATGGTTCCGGATCGCGCAGAGATGCCGCTCGAGCGGAGATTCTGGCTTCCGATTCTGCAGCCCGTCGATGGTTTCCAAGTTCCAGCGATGAGGAGCAAGTCCAAGAGCAGGTCGCTGTCTAAGAGTCTGAGAGCAACCGCTTTCCGCCTCTGCTAGATAATGGTGAAAGAGATCCATGTGAGAAGGATGACAGCGCTTATACATATTTGATTGTTTATTTTCAATTCGAAATCGATATCGACATTATGCACGATGCCGATTCCCATGCTGTGCCGATGGCACCAGGACAAAAACGGCGTCGATAATGCGATCGAAGCGCAGCGGGTAACGATGTCGAATTCATTGGAATATCACTATTCGAAGTCTCAATCGAGCAACAGGGCAACGTGATTGATGAACGATCTCGCTATCGTTCCGGCCAGACTCATTCCGATTTGGCATATGCAACGTGTATGATCAGGGAGAGCATAACCATTCCCCAATGCGCCAAGTTCAATTTTCTCTGGTCCGCGGAGACCGCCGTCTCTGGACAAGGGATCGAGTACAGCTAATCAGACAAACGGCGCTTTCGCTTTTCGAAATATTCCGTGAGTTTACCGAAGCATCGTGTACATGTACTATGTAATAATCAGCTGATAATTATGGAGATCGTATCACCTTGTCCTCTCCGCGTCGGGAAAAAAAAGGGACATTCCTGGCGAAGCACAGCGGTAATATATCGGGCCGAAAATTTCGGAGCAAAACAAAGAGCAGTTGTCGACCCGTTTGTTCAACCCTCGTCTGGAGCTTGAGGGAAAGCTCGCGAAAGGGTGGAATGAAAATTTCTCCGTGCCCCGCTCCTGGATGAATCCCGCTGGCTAAGGGCCCGTGTCCGTGCTGTCGCAGTTCCAGGCGCATGAATTATTAAAGTGTCGTTTCGGTCTGAATATTTGACCATCAACAGCGAGCGAACCGGCTGCTCCGATAAAAGATACGATTTACGAAGGCCGCAAGCTCGATGAGCCGTTCGCGTCGGGACATCATGGGGCTTTTTTGTCTGCGGACGAGGGAACCCTCGGAATTCGGCAGCCTCTCTCGAAAGCGATGAATACTTCATGTCGGAAGCCAGTAATGTCCTAAAGACTCCCAAAGTGAGATCATGGTCTCGTCTACACACCAGTCAACTACTCAATTCACAAAAGATGTATCGATATTATACTGTCGGTGATTGAATCAAGGTCATCTCCAGCACCCGGATGTCGGACCCCATCTCGCCGCTTTTGGTTCGGTCTTTCCCGAAATCAGTTCTCCACGGCGAAAGCACGGTTAATCAGCGAGGGCTTCCGAGGCTTCGTATTCGAGCGCTATCCATCGACGCCATCGAGAATGGAATTATTTATGGATTCAAGAATAACATCATTTCCATTCGATCTCAGTTCCTCATCGATATCTCATGATCCGGATTCTGTAGTACACTCACGACAATGGCCCGCCATGGTCGTGATGTACCGCGGCGTTCGGGGGACGCCAGATCCCGCCAACGACCTGCCGGATGCGTTCTGATTTGGAGCCGATATATTCCTTGCCTTCCTCTACCTGGCTTCGCTCAAGTCTGATTCGTAGGCCATCCCCGAGGGGCGTGCAGTCAGCGCGCCCACCGCCGTGAGTTTTCTCCACCACGCGCGAAACGAAAAAGCCTTCGTAGTACGCGTTTCTCCGAATAGCCATGAGCGTTCAATACAAGAGAGTCGGTCTCTCACCCTCCGTTGCTATGCAGCTCCGGCCGCAAGTGGTCACGTTGAGACGGAACTGGCTCGGTGTCGTTCGTTCGAGCCGAGTTCTCTCAGGCATCGTGCTCTGTTGTGGCTTGAACTCGGCGAACGATATCGCCAATACAACGTTATTACGCAAGTTTTTGGTCCTCGGCCCTCTCGGCTTCGGTATCGTGAGTATGGGAACTAATTAACTCCTTGAAATAGTCGCAAGCTTCCCCACCGTGTTTCGGCGGCAGGCAAGAGGTTCGACGCTGTAATCGAATTGCGCTCAAGCTTCGTACATCTCCTTCTACTATGGCGAGCCAGCTGAATCTACGAAATTCGAGGACGTCGACCAGTCGGAGTCGCTCCTAGACCTGACTGAATCCTCCTGTCATCCAACACTCAAGAACGAAACCGAAAAAGAGACGCATATCGCGGGAATCGTTCAAACTCCTGGACCATATTCTCCTCTGCCCGCAGGAACGCGGAAGAAAATCCGGAGGCCTCGAAAATTCCGAGAGCACTAAAGTTCTCGTCTCAAATGACGTCATTTTTCAAGAGTTAGGGCGTACACCGCTTCCGGACCCCGACGGCGCGGCGTACAGGAAACTGCCGGTTGCGCTGGGATCATAGATTGGCGGCTTCGCCTTATGCATCGTAGCTGGCACGCGGTCAGGAAACGGGCGAGAAGTTATTTACCACGCGAGTTCCCATTTGTCAATCTATTCATGATCTGTATCAGACCATAACTCACGCTAAGGGAAATTCTCGTCGAGAGCATTACCAAGCGCCGGATCAATGAGCGATCTCATTCGGCGAGCAAACTTTTGGTCATCATGAGTTGGAGCGAATTTTATTCCTTATTTCGAAATGTTCCGAAATTGCGTGTGGCTCGGATCCCTTCTCCGTGAGCCATTCTGAATTCCGGGTCATCGAGAATCGCAGCGGATGTCTTTCTTAGGCCTGAGAGCCTGCTCCTTCATCAAACTATCGTATGTGAGGAGGAGGAAGAGCAACAAGAGGGGAACTTCAGAAAAAAATTCGAATCCCTACCACGTCCCTCTGTCACGCTCGTTTTTCTGAATGGGAAATACTGTGAACCCGTCTGAATCAATTAGGACCCGCTCGGCTTAGAGCCGACACTGCCAACGAGGACCATTGGCCAATGATTCTTCTCGAACTCCAGGCATGCACAGGCTTACGCCCTAGGGTAGACTTCCGATGGTTTTCGAGATACTCCGTATACGAGAGAAAAATCGAATATACATATAGTACAGGCAGTGGACGCTCCTTCTGGTGCAGGCACGGCCAACTCATTGTGTGAGCTTGTACAGATCTGCTCAAAGCAACGATCGTGAAATCGATAGAATGAGGCGAAGACTGCCCAGAAAGGAATACGCACCCCTTCGCCCCGCACCGACCTGAATTCATCGTCCGGAGAGTTCTTCCGTTTCTGGCCACTTACGCGGAAATGCGGGAGAGAGTGAACAAACCCTCGTGCTCGTTATCCGCGTCTCATTCTGACGCGATACCGATACCTCGAATAGGCTGATTCGTCGCATTCATGGCCCGCATTATTCTGACTCGAGCGTCTCATTTCAGGCTGCAGAGCCCGAGGTGTACTTGAAGTCCGGGGACTATCAAGAAGGAGATAGTTCCGCCGTGCTCGACTTCGAGACAGCTGCAGCAACGTCCACGCCGATTGGACCCAATTCTGTCGCAGACGACTCAAGAGGTGAGTTGCGCAAATGAGATCCAACTCGCCAGCTACAGGCGGAGGAATCGAATTGCAAGCGAGCTCGCTGACTTTGAATCGAACGTGCGATTGTCTCTAATTCTCGCCTAGGATAAGGCGAGAGGGATGGCCCGGATATGAGCAAAGTCTCCAACAAGCAGAACCCCCACAGGCCTCGGTGATGCTCGCAATAGAGGTTTTGGGGTGTCGTCCGGACGATATCCTTCATTATCCATACCTAAAGGTCATTCCTTCTGTCTCAGATTCGGCATCGGGGGGTGACGTGATTCAGAACGAGGCTAAAGGGGCAAGAAGAAAATCATCGACGACCTCAACAGCATCCTCGGGGAAAAACAGTAGAGACAAGACGACTGCACCTCTGGGGGATCATGTGAACAACAACGAGAACAAAACTTCCGACGACGGCGACGATCCGAAAAACGGCCGACATAATGAACAATCTGACAGCGCCGAAAACAACGCGTTGAGTGTCGGCAAAAGCGCCGCCAACAGCAACACCAACAATAACAACAACACCACCGACGTCAGAAAAGATTCGACGACATTCAGCGGAGCGCCGAGGGGCAAACGAACCGGGCGAAAGTTGAGCGACTTAAAGGCGGTGCAAAAAAAGGGCGAAACTCTTCTGCACAGGAAAAATAACTCGAGGGGGCGCTTCAAGGGGGGACCCACGAGGAGCCAGGAGCAACGGGTGGGGTGAGTGGTCTATCGACCCCCGTGTGTGGTCGGGGTCTTGAACGTGTCCGCCTTTTTGAGAATATAGACACAAGGAATAGATGAAAGATTTTATTATTCTGTTCCGCGTCAGGACAGAAATTCTCAAGCGGTTTTCGCGCAGAAACTGCGTCGACTTCGATATCTAACGAGTTTCTTTCGAAATTCAGGCTGACTTCGGAGGAAGAACGAGAAACGGACACGTTCCGAGAAACTTTCGACGACATCCATGAGACGAGTGTGGTCGACCTTCGCGCAGCAGCTTTTTTGAATCGCAGCGCGCCCGACCTCAACTCGGCAGGTGGTGATAGTAGTCAGTTTCAGTCTTATTCTGAGAGCAGAAAGCTTAATAATACTGCGGGCACGTTGGGCGTTGCACGCAGCCGATTCGGTCATTCGTTACATGACCTGAACGGCGAAAGCGTCGCAAGCCACAGTCAGCGTCGGAGTAAGTATCGAAGTCATGACCTTGATGACGTTCATGTAGACGTTGCAGCGTTGAGCGGAGGTAAGTCGAGCACGCGTCGCCGAGTCATCCTAAAAAAATCAAACCTATCGACTCGTACTCGACATAAATCGAGCACGACAGTGGAAACCGCCGCAGTGTCCCTCATCGACGCGTCGGGTGAGAACGTCCACTTCAGCGAAGAACAAATCGACAGAAAATTCGAACGGATTTCGAGCGGCGCATCCGCGTCGGAACGTGCCGTTTCGAGAAGCTCGATGTCGCTCTCAATCGCGGTGTCCGTCAAGGAGATCGAGGACATCACAACGCAAACCAACGCGTCGGGCGACGATGGTTTTGATTCGAAAAACGCGCCTGCTGCGTCAGCGTCAGCGGCGGCGGCGAAATCTTCGAATAAATCGATGGAGGAGGACGACGACGATCTCGAGACCACGGCCGACAAGGAAAACAGCAACCGCTCGGGAAATTCTGAGGAGCGCGTGACGAGTTCGGAATCCATCGATAACGAGAGGATGCGTGCCGTTATCAGTCCGGGTGCCTCCGTCCCGATTCTCGATAGTGAAGGCAACGAGGTCGGTGACATCGAAGTCGGAGTTGCCAACTCCGTGGAGGAAATGCTCTCCACGGTTAATGCGGTTACGAGCGCCGTTTCCGATAGCGTGAACACGGTCTCACGACGAATCGGGGCCGAGGAACAGAACGCCAACAAAATATCGGAGATCGCAGCCGACGGAACCCAGTCGTCGAAACAGACCGCTATCGACGACGACAATGTCGGGACCGAAACTCCCAGCACAGATATCGTGGGGCTGGGGAACTACGAGAGTGACGTCACGACGCCGGGTCTCGAGCAGACAATCGAAGTCAGCGTTGAATCCACTCCCGAAAACAAATTCAACGACGAGGAAGGCGGCGAAACAAAGGACGAGGAATCCACTGAGGAATCCGAATTTCTATTGAGCGCGATCTCTGAGAGAGGAGAAAGCGCTTTGCCAACATCCGATGATCTCGACACGGAAATCGAGAACCGTGGACTGGGCCAAACGGATCATCATGAACACCCGGGCGATGAAGATGACGACGATCGAGTCGAAGACTCCGGAGTGGTTTTCATCGATAACGGCCAAACAGTCTCGACGCAATCCGCGACGACCACGTCCGCTTCTCCGAGTCCATCCGCCGTGGCGCAGAGAGGTTCAGCCACCACGGTCAGAACCCCGAGAGGAGAATCCGAGTTGAGGAATACTTCGGCCTCAAGCCAAAAGACGCCCATACCGGCGGAGAGGAGGACTTCGTCAGCTGCTAGCGGACCAGCAAGTCCGAGAGCTTCGCGAAATTCCTCCGCTCGGGAGAGCCCGCGATCCGGGAGATTTTCCGCAGCGTCCTCCGCGAGAGATTCGAAGTCGTCGTCCGCGAGCTCGACGAAGCCAGGGCCACCCCCAGTCGCCAAAGACGAGAAACAGGACTCGAAGAGCGGAACACCGCAGACGTTGGCGGGCGGGCGAACTCGAACAGTCACTCCCGCCGACACGAAGCCCTCCTCGACAAAGAGCCCCCCTCTACCGAAAAAACGGAATTCTGTGCAATCAGAGAATTCCGGGAGTGGTAAGAGCGACACATCCCGTGGAGCAGCGGGAACTTCACAGCCGAAACCTCGCTCTGGAGAAAGCACCGCGGGTTCAAACAAGAGGTCGCCCCCCAATAGGAATTCCCGACGTGGTTCGAAAGAAAACCTGCCTGCCGATACCCGGGATGGCGATCTCTCTCAGGACGTTGCCAAGCAGCCGGTCGGCGGAAGCTCCCAACCACCCCCAGCGATCACTCCGAGAGCTTCGAAAGCAACGTCTCCGAAAGGTTCGAAGTCGACGTCGCCGAAAGGGTCAAAGTCGACGTCTCCGAAAGGGTCGAAGTCGAACTCAACGAAAACATCGAGGACCAGCTCGCTTGAGTCCAGGGGCTCGTCCTCGTCGAGACCAACGTCGGCGAAGGCAAGGACGAGTGCCGGGTCTGGGATTGCCCGCGAAGGCACTTACGTAAAACAAGCGGACGACAATCGAACCACTCCATCAGAGCTCATAGAGTCGGCGAGAATCATCGTCGAGGAAACCGTTGAACGAGCCGCGAGGTCGCTCAGTGCTTCGCTCCATTCGGCGAGTATGTCCAGAGAGGATAGTAAGTCATTAACGACTTCGGAGGACGTCGTAACGGTCGTCGAGGCGGCCGGCAGGACGGATTCGAGGCTTTCGAATGACACCGTGATTATCGAGAAAGGAGACGACCTTGTCGTCGCCGGGGATCGGCACGCCGTTGACACGATTGCGTCAGAGGATGTCGGAATCCCCGCGGCAAACACGCACCCGGTCCCACGAACCGACGAGCCACTAGAGAGGGATCGAACGAAAGGAGACTCGACCAGTAAAATGATCCACGCAAAAAACGCGAGGAACGGTGCCGATGGCCTCGGTGAGGCAAGAAGGGAACGTCGAAATGCCGAAGCCCCAAAGCAAACTCGCATCGCTGCCAACGCTGACTCAGTTCAGAGCGTAGACGAAACAGATTCGACAGGTCTGCGAACTCCAGACTCGAAAACGACGACGCTGGATGATTCAATGTCTCTTCCGAACGACTCAGGTCATGCCACCGAGGAGGACCGCGGTAGCTCTCCTGATATTCGAGGTAGCGATATTATAGCTGCTATCGCCAGCGATCCCCACAGCGACTCCGCCTCAAGCAAAAAATCAACGCGAACTGTAAAACGCGCCCCCAGAACGCTCACATCTCAAGCTCCTGTCGCGGTCCCCATCCCAAAAGCCACTACCCGCAGCACTCGCAAATCTCCCGCCCGAAGCCGTCGCAATAAATCCCCTCCTCCGCCAGAAAAGTACCTGAACCGTCTGAAGCGATCGAAGTCTGAAGGGGTCGCACTTCACAAGCTCCAAACGCAGAGCGGCGACCAGACCGGAAGTCGCGTGAACTCGCGAGCCTCCGAGGGCGGCGAGGGTCGGCTAAGCCGTCTGCAGTCGAAATCTGTCGCCGAAATTGAGCAACAACGTCACGAAGAGAGTACGTCATTGTTGATGAGAAAATCGCCCCGCTTCGGGAAATTGCCCTGGTGCAGCACTGAAATGAACGCCTTGGAGAGTCGTTGCTGCCCTTCGACCAACTGTTCAATTTTCTATATGACCGCCATCCATCACGTCACCCCGTTAGAGTGATCTTTGGATGGAGTGTCGGTCGGAGGGTCGTTGGATCCGGACACGGAATCCCGTTCGAGTTTAGACATCGACATCCTATGATGAGGTCTCAGAGAGTCTCTCGTAAGCTCATTTCCGAGCTCCGTTGGAGAAGATATCCTCTCGTAGACGTCTGAGTGGCCAGACGGCTTATTGATGAGTGGGACCTATCTTCAATGTTTCGTGGGGGGGGGGCGGGGATAATCGGGATCGATTGCGCTCGAAGCGGGAAGGAGGGCAGGGAACGGGGGGCAGCGACGACTCGCGGGGCCATTCGCATGTTCGGTCTCCTGTCTGCACCAGATCGTAGTCTATCAGAAACCAGCGATTCGAGTGCGGAACTCGAGTGCCTGGGCGCGTTCGTTGATCGGTGCCGTGATATTAGTGTCGAGAGAAAAGTTTGAGATTGGTTGGAGTCTCCTGCACCGTTGCACTGGTTGGGTCTCTACCACAGAGCACTGAAGGAGAGTTCACCCCCGTGAAGCTCACGCAAATAGTAGGTAAAAACCTCTGTGTGTGCATATACCTCACGGGGAACTCTCTTAAAGCTTATCGAGAGCAGAAACGCATATTTCGTGAATCGGGGAAGCCACTGAATATGACGGGGGCGGAATAATCGCGGGGACGACGAAACTCATCGAATATCTTCTTTAGTGGAGAAGCTTCGCGCTAAACTCGACACACTCCGTTCCGAACGACAAGAATGCGAAGTGCAGAAAGAGGAAATGGTCAAACACGTGAGGAGTCTGCACGCCAAGCTAATCCAGGAGAAGGAAGCAGGTAAGATATATAATGAGCAAAAGAGACGGATGAGACAGATAGAAGGCTTTTGGCGATGTTTTGCTTTTCGCCACGCTTTCATTACGCCCAACGTAATAGGCTTTCGCTGCCCGTCGGCGGCACCAAATCGCTCCGTCGACTCGGAAGACCAGCAATTAATTGGCCTTTCAATCGGGAGTCCCGGCAGCTGGAATGACCAATCAGCTCTCGTTCCGTGCTTAGGTAGTGGAGCAAAGGAAAGAAAATCACCACGCAGCGTCTCGAAAATGTTCTCAATGTCCCGGAAACCTCGATTGCCGAATATATCCCCTGGATGAGGCTTTTTCCGAGAGCTCTTTCCGATAAGTCTCCCTGGGGTCCCACTCCTGATTCACGTTCCTGATTTCTTTTGTTTCTCCGTTCGCAACCTCTCGTATTAGGTTTGTGAATGATTTTATAAACTCCTCTCTCGACTGCCTCGTGCTGGACTCTTTTTTTTTGGAAGCTCCGCTCTCGTAACAGATGCGTGGGCACTTACTCGCGAGAAGCCGGAACGCTATTTTCATAAAATCTCTCTTTACGACGCCCGTCGACGTCGTCGCCCTCTCGAGCTAGTTTTGCGAACACTGCTAACTCAGTCGGCAACGCTGGGAAGCTGCCATGCCCAATTCGACTAGCTAGTTCCCTCTGGCTGGCCTTGACGCAATACCGTGAAGAGATTGCGAGAATCGATACGTCCCAAAATCACGTATTAACGCGCCCCTTTCACGCAATAAATTGAACTAGTCCATGAATTGTGGAGGAAGCGGTATCTGGAGGAGAAGAAATTGACCCCGAAGATCGAGGAAGAGAGCGCCAAATGGAGACTAGAGCTTGAGAGGATCCATAAGTGAGTATGCCGGCCGAGAGCGTTTTGAATTATTATTCAAGCCTCCGGGATTTTTTTCCTTGTTTGCATTATCATTAATGGAATACTGGGATCCGCAGGGATATGATCACGAAGGTTGAGGGACGAGACCCCAACGACGCAAAATCACCGTTTTCGCGGCTGGAGGAACCCTCGAACAAGGTGTGTACATACATACGTATGACACAGCTCCATGAACTCCATCGGAACAAAATTACCGGGAAACTTCCATCACGGAACGCTTCACGCGCATATTATGCGAATTGAATCGTTCGTCTCGCACGCACCGCCGTGCAACGGGTCGTAGCAGCCATCGGAAAGATGCAGCGAGGCCGAGTTTTATGCGACTCGCATGCAGCTGATGCTCTCGATGAGGCCTAACGTCTACTCGAGCCTCAATCTCGCGCACCGACGTCACCGGGACCCATCATTCCAACATCCACGCGAGCGAGCAAGCAAGCAAACATGTAGCCTACGGAGCCGCCAGTCTGCCCGGCCTCGTTACTCACGGACTGTAACCGGTTACTCGTGGCCTATTCGACTTTGATCGGCATCTTTTTGCGCTCTATTTACCCTGGATTTCGGGCCGAATTTGCGACTGATCCGAAAATCCAAAGTGTCCCATTGACGACCGAGCACGGGGTGGGAGGGGTCCAGGAAGAACTCATCATGCTTGTAGGTACTCTTGCTCAGTCCGCTGCAATGGTTCGGAAACTGAGGATTCCCCTTTCCAGGTGTCCTACAAAATTATGGTTGCGAGGTTGCTGCAGGAAATTGAAGATTTGAAACGGAGACTAGAAACCACCAAACTCAGGCTGGGAGCTGAGGCCAAGGCGAGTACCAGTTTTCATTCACTCCGAGTTCTGATCTCACCGGTGGAACTATGTTCCTCTCTGATATCTCTCGATGTTGAGCGCAAAGTATAAGTGGTGTTTTTCCCGTCGCTCCTTTCTGCCTCCAGGAGATTCAGGGGATTATTTCAGGAACAGCCTGCTCCCTTTCGCTGATAACTCCGTCTTGTCTAATCTCTTCTCTTCACTGGCTGAGATGTCCAATTTTTACCTCGTATCTCGGCAGTTCCTTCGTCCCTCCCCCCTACTGACCTTCTGCGCCTTCATCTGCCGTTTCTCAGTCGCTATTAAAGGCTGAGGCCCTCTCGAGAAACTCCCGGAGTCGTCCCGGGGCATCGAAGGGGGAATTAATTTCTCGCAGGGGAGCCTGCGGAATATTCCTTGGGAGTTCGACCATATGTTCCAATTTGTCGAACCCGTTTCTCCTTGCAGCTGAGAGCAATGGCTGAAAAAGACGTTCGCACGCTTCGGGAAGATCTCATCCAGAAGAAAATTCAGGTGACCTTAACGAGAAAGGAAACTGATTCTGTCATCGCCCCCTTCTATCGAGACACAATTTATTCCCTACATCCTCTGATGTGATTCTTGGCGAAGCGTTCGCACCTCGGCTGAATCTTCGACAAGGAGTCAGAGTTTTAATCCTCGACAATCACACACTGTGCACTCTTCGTCCTCGAGTAGAATACGATTCGTCCCGAGTTTCTCGACGAGGATCCATCGGAGCGCCGACCGCCCTACTTTTAGAGAGCGCTCCGATTTTCGAATTTGATGGGGCCTGAGGAAGGTCCGTCTAGGGAACCGTGTGTCGTTCCCTTTAGCATGATAGAATTTCAAGCGGGAGATCCGAGAGGAGGGGCGAACAGTTTCAATGGCAAGGAACCGAACGCCGCTGTCGAGTTTGTTGAGAGCTGGAACGAGGAACGAAATCGATTTGGAGTTCCTTGGAGTTTTGCATGTTCCAATACTCTCGATCGAAGCCCAGGTGTGTTTCGAAGGAGAGTATGTGCGGATTACGATGGACTGCTTCGATGCGGAGTTTCGCTCTCGAGGAACCCTTGCCAGACAGAGAAAGCGAAGAACGATAGAAACGAAGCCTTGCGAGCGAAAGAAATGAGCTAGTAAGAAACACGGAACGAGCAGGGCCGCGGAGTTGTATGTGATACGGAAGACTTACCGAATTGTTCGGTGATCGTTTCCTCTAATAAAGTTTCGCTGTGAAATGTGCCCAATCGCTTTCATTCCTCAATGCATACCGCCCTCGCTCTAGCGCATCGCACATGGTCCTCAACGTTCCCCGCACATGCAGAATGTGGCTGCCTCTCACGGGATTCATCAGTTGGCCACGGGGGCAGGCTTCTTCCGCCTGGAATAGATTCCTTGAGCAATATCCGAGGTTTTGCCTCCGCGTGAGGGAAGGAGGCGCCAAACCTATCAGCCGCAAAGTCGAGTGTCACTCTGCGTGATTTCTCTGGTGACCAAGCGCAGCAGGAGGACCCTTCGAGGAGTGAAGAGAGCCCGATGTCACGTCACTGCGGCTGCTCGACGCCAGGTTAGTAAATTGATTCTCAGCTCAAACGTCCACAGACGGGGTTTGTTTGTCCAAGGTAATCCGCCCGGAGGCTTAACATTCTTGTCCAGTCGATGCACAACCCATTGTGGAGCAGACGGATTCTTCAAATTCACGAGCGGAACCTATCATCTTACGAGACTTCGGGAAGCCAGCCCGACTCCGTTATCCACTCCACAGCTCAGCGAGCTGACGAGAAAGGCGAGGACGCATCATGACAATAATTACAGAGTCTGACCCCGACTGCACCGGTCCGACAGCCTCAGACCGAAGGAGGAAGTCTGAGGAGAACTCCTGGACACCATGAGATTTCTTCTTCTCGATTCTCCATTGACAGTCGCTTATCATCCCGCCCCGTCAGATCCGAATCCTCCCGTCAAATCACAGGATCTGCTGTCACAGGCGGTCAAACAGGCCAAAGCTAAGTGAATGAGAGAGTGTTCGTTCTATAGTTGGTCGGTTCGTTCACTCACTTAGTTTTGGGAGGGTCCGTAAGCGCTGCCAAAAGCAGCGAGTGGGCTAGAACCAGTTTCCCCGGGCTGCTCTCTCGTCAACACAGCACAAACAGACTCAAGCCGGGAGACTCGGCTCTAAGCAGTGTGTCGCAATGGACGACGACCACCGCTTCATCGAAATCCGTGATACCAAAGAGTTTGCGTATACGATAAAAATTCCTCGGAAGTACGACTGGGCGGTGCACGACGGACCGAACAGCTCTCTCTGTGATCTCACGCTAGAACTCGACGATGGACAAGTGTCTGTGCACAGTGATGTTTTCTGCCATTTCAGCCAATTCTTCAAAGCCATGTTCTCGGCAACTTGGCTCGAATCAAAAACGCACAGAGTTCACTTCCCCAATATCGAGTACAGATCCATGCGCGCTCTCGTGGACATGATCTACGCGGGGGAATTCCTTCTGACGCATTACAACATCGAGCCGATATTCCAAGTGGTCCACCACCTGCAAATGGACGAACTTCTCGGATATTGCTGCGATGTCCTCATCGACAGTCTGGAGAAAACGAACGTCATCGCCTTCCACCAGCTAGCGGCTCGCTACACGCTCGGAGGCCTCCGCGAGGAGTGTGTGCTGTACGTGCTGGAGAATTGTAAACATCTATTCGAAGACCAGGCTTTTCTCGCCGAGCTGCCGTTCGACCTCATCGAGACCGTAATGCAACGCGACGATCTTTTCGTCAAGAACGAGCTCGACGTCCTCACCATGATCCTCAGTTGGCTCCAGGTCGAAACGCACAGGGACGCGAACAAGATCGCTCTCTTTGAAAAGGTTCGCTTCCCTCAGCTGAACACGAATTGCAAAAAAGTCCTCAAGGCCCTCACTCCTCTGCTCGTCGAGTCGACTGTATATACGGACTTCTGCAAAAGCCGCTTCTGGCTCGACGATATTCCGCGCTACCAACTGCGGCCGCGCAAGTTCCAGCCAGTGCATTTGCACTACGTTCTCAAAGTGAATTATGTGCAATTCGGAAAATCTAATAGAGCGTACGCGCTATTCCTCTACTGCAATATCTCAAACCGAACAACTCTACTTCACAGCCACGAGTACGGCAAACGAAATTCGTACAACTCGAATTTCGGACCGCACGAGTACGGCGATGGCTTCACAGTGGTAGGTCGATTCGCTTACCTGCAAGAACGGATGATTTTGCGGGAGGGCCGGCGGGAATTCCTGCGCATCACTCGAACCAGCCTCCAACCGAACAAGCTGGGCGCCATCCAGACGCAGAACATCTATTTTCCGGTTGCGGATCAAAGCCTGTTTCAAGTTGGGAAATTGGTCGCTCTCGAGGGCCGGCTTGCAAGGCTTCACGTAACAGGATCGGCTAACCGCCTTAGTCCCGACGAATTGCGTGAGATTCGAACGAGTCTCAACGTCGACCGGATAAAGTACGGCCTCGATAATATCAACGTGATGCAGCTCGATCTCAAGGCGAAGAAATTCGAATCGGGGCCCTCATTGATAGAGAATAACGCTCAAACAACCGAACCGTGGCTGTTCGCCTTGCTCGCCGATCGGATGTGCAAATGGATGAAAGGAGACGAGTTCTCATTCATTCTGAGCAGCGCGCTGGACGGGCTGAATTTCATCGCGAGAATCGACCGCAATGGGAAAGTGAGCCGCATATCATTCAAGCCGGATCTCTTGAGTAGGCGCACGCTGCGGCGCGGGATCCACGACATGCTGCTCATCGAGAACACGCTGTTCACCTACGAGTATCTGGATATTTTCAATTCGGGCGACAACCAGGTCCGGCGGCGTATTCAAGCGATGGACGCGAGAACCCAGGAGTTCACGGGCATCATGGTCATCGACTGCGAGAACAATGACGCCACGGCGAAATTGCTCTTTTCGATTTGCGAAATGGATGTGAATAAATTGGAACTCTGCGAGATCCGCGGCGAACCTCATCTGCTTGTCGTACCCAACGGATATCAGCTGGGAACGAAGAGTTATTTCGGTGTATTCCAAATCATGAGAGAGATGGCAGAAAACGGAGACAGTCTCAAAGTGAGAAAAGTGCGACTGGATAAATTGGATATCGACGAGTTCCAGAAGATGCCCGAGGATTCGTGTGTCAAAATAGAGAGCGCCGTTGTACCTGTGGACATGCACCCGTGCGAATATTCGACGTTCATCCACGACCAGCTCCATCGGCTGGCGGATCATAACTTATCAGAGTTGGAGGCGCTCCGGAAGTTTGCGGCTTAAAAGCGAATATTCGTCTTTGTACGATACGTAAACAGCTTTTGTAGATATTGTATTGTGTCCGGAAAGCCGAAATGAAGAATTGTGCCGCAGTCCATGAAGTGAAATTTCTCTTGCCACGGTCAGAAGTAGAATATCGGATAGGTACTCGAAAACAAAAGCAGCTCTTCAGACCCGGGGAAGGAGTCAGTAGACTTTTATTAGAGAACTTCTTCCGAGATATTATTCGTCCGTCACGTCCGACAATCACGCTCAGACGAAGGTGGCTCAGAAAATACTTCTCCCGTAGTTCGATTCTACTCCAATCGGATGGAGTGCGTGAGGTGAGGATTCTGACGCCCCGTAACAAACCCATTTTCAGGGAGATCCCGTGTCGATCACGGGCGGGATCAGGAGCACGATCATCTATTCCGTCACAGCTACCGCGTATAATATTGTATTTTGATCACTGTCGAACTGAATTTTTTACACGAGTTCTTCCCCTCACCGTTCCAGCAGAAACATCTACGGGAAAAATAGGTAGTGCTGAAAAATGCTGTTCGGCGGCACTCGCTTCAATCCTCGAGCGTAACATTGCGGAATAGATAAGACATCGATTCCTTATGATGAATCCTCCGAATGGCCTCTGACAGGAGAATAGAGATGTCTACGGTTTTGATTTTATGGCACTGCATCTTCTGGACCTCGTGAGGTACGGTGTTCGTCACAACCACTTCATCTATCGGCGAATCGTCGATCAGTTGAGGAGCATCCGATGAGAGTATTCCGTGGGTAGCCAGAACGTAGATTTTGTAGGCGCCGCGTTCCTTGAGAACCTCGGCGGCCACCACGAAGGACGCCACGTCATCGATCATATCGTCCACCTAGAAGTCGTGGAGAAAGTATTTTTCGCAATCATACCCATTCCTAGCTTTGGAGAGCTCTCTTCAGCTGCGGGCGACCTCTCGGTCGGGGGCTCACAAGGCAGCGAGATGGAAACCGATTATTTAGATGCCTACCATGATAGCGATCTTGCCTCCGACGTCACCGACCACGTTTATTGGTGGTTTCTCTTTCGCCGCCATTAGGGGCAGCGTGTTAATAGCTGCCGTTGTCCGAGACGATGTGGGTGGAGGCGAGTTACGACCATCAACCATTTCACTATCGCTTTCCTGTACCAGTTCGCAAGTGATTAGAGAAAAACGGCATCGGATACGACGATTCTCGCGGAAACGAAATAATGCGGGACGGAAGCAAGAGGGGTGAGATAGCATGCAACGAACGCGAGCGAGCCCGACTGACGGACGCAAGAACACGAAGGCTCTTCGTCAGCAGCTTGGACGTCTCGTGACGAACCGACATCGAGGCGAAGGCCTCCCAAAAAAAGGCCTACGGTTATTGCTCGCACCTCGGCCTCGACGTCTTCTTCTCCTTCTCCGCACTCTACCTTATGTTCTCCATGGATGACTGCGATTCCCAATCGCAGTCGCTCGGCGTACGAAGTCGCCTTGTTCGCCGAGGCTGGATTCCGAGCGACAATGACGGCATTTCGGTAATCTGGAATCTGGAAACGAAGAGGAACTCCTGAATGTTACGAAAATTACTCGCGGCCACGGATCGCGTTCACGTCATCGTTAGAGCCCTCGAGGTAGAACCGTGCCGAGACCAGAATTCCCACGGCTAGATCTCCGACGGTCGCTCCCTCGATTTATAACCGTCAGCGATAAGGTTCGATATTTCGTTCTCCCAGCGAAAAATAGGCTCTCACAAGCAACAAGGGAGGAAATTAGTTTCCCAACAAACTTTCCCGAACATTCGATCGGACCTCAGGACATCGATCGCAATGCCCCTGTTCCTGAAAGCTAGATTTCGAACGGAAGAATTACGAGCTCCTCGCGCCGTCAACAGGAAAGTGCGACTCTGACGCATCCATTGGAACAATACTGCACGACAAGTCTTTCCCTTAATACCTTGGATTACTCCGGCCAAATACTAATAAGCTCCAGTCACACAGTGGGGATGGCCTCTGCGCGAACACGCAATATGTTTCCCGTCTGTGCGGAGGAGCTGAACTGCAGTCTGATCGAGGAGGAACTCATGATCTTTCGATTGACGTGCTTCTGATGGGAAAGAAGCAATTCGAACCCGAATCTCGGCCCCGCGCGGTTAGTTCTTTCCACTCACGCAATCAGTGATGTATTGCAGCAGGAAGGGACTCGCTCGCAGGTTATCTACGGGAATGTCGAAGAATCCTTGAATTTCTTTCTGATGGAGGTCCATTGTGATGACGTGCGTCAGACCCGCCTGCGGAAAAACAGTCGAAAAGTTGGTCGTCTTCGCACAGGGAGTCTGTTATTCTCCTCGGAACGCTCGGGACTGCCGTCTAGGAGCCTCACTTACCTTGACCATCATCTGCGCTAGCAATTTCGAGACGATGCACCCTCGTTTACGCATCTTGCTCTGCTTAGAATACGGAAGGTAGGGAATCACAGCTACAATGTTGCGTGCCGCCGACGTGCGACAACAGTATGCCATAATAAGTAGTTCCATGATCGAGTTGTTCACGTCTCTGAAGAGATGAATTTAAGAGTTCGCTCAGCTTTAAACTGACACGAGTCGGAGCTCATTACGAGAACGCTCGCAAACGAGCCGGCCAGCTCGTCGTTGTTTCCCTGCTCATCAGGCACAACGGATTCGTTCGAACGAACTACACCGATAACGAGGCGTTGCCACGGCTGGAGCGACTACGACGACAACACCAGCTACCTATTACTGAAACCGCCGTCACGCGTCGAAGCTTCTCTCAGCGGTTGGGACGATGAAGTCGAGCCCAGTCAGAGAACAAGACGGAACGCTTTGCCTAAATTTCTCCCTGGAGAGGGAATTTGAGACCCCGCTTTTCCAAAAGATTCAGCGGAAACTAGCGACAGTGCCATCAGCGTCGAGATAGCTAAACCAACATGTACTCCCGAGTCGGGGGTCCCGACGGGAAGTTCCCGACACGTCAGGCTTCCCCGTCAGGTCGCATTCTGAGTCGGAATTCCTCTCGGAGTAGCTCGGGTTGTTTTTTCCTGGCATGCTGAAGTCTTGTGGTTCAGAATCTAACTGTCCAAGGCCAAGCTGAATTTTTCGTTGGTTGTTGGATTTCCTCAGTTCATTAGGTATCTTACAATAGACGACGGAAACCTACTTTGATCCAGTCTGAATGATGTAGACATCTCTGTTCCGAACCGACTCGGCCATATCCACCAATGTTTCTGAAAAATCATTCTCGCTTCAGATTCCAGACCTCTTCCGTCAAATCCGTGCGGTCATCGATCCGCAATCGATAATGGTAAGCATGCGAAGATGACCCACATTTCATGAAATGAGTGAATGTCATATGACTCTGCACGATTGGAAAGTTCCGAACTCTGGAGTCGAAGTCTCTACCACCTGGATACAGACTCCACAGCATGTCCTCAAGATTTTCGATTCTGAATGCCCGATAGTATGAATTCATGTCCGAACCCAGGGGGCGATAAACTTTTTTTCGGGCTGATCCACACCGCCAAGGTTTAACGACCCGGGTACTGTTATTCACATTGCTTGCGAGGACGGACCCATAGAGCGAACGTACCCAGGAGGATTAAGGCCGAGTACCTGCGTTTCCGTAAGGAATATTTTTCCGGCAGCGGGGATCGGAGCCACACCGCCTCCCGCGCGAGCGGCGTCGTTGCGGCTAACCACGTTGTACGAGTAGTGACAAACGCGCTAACCACTCGACCACCCGTCAGTGGGGCGGGGGGGCGGCGATATCCGAGCATAAATCTGCGAATGACAATGATTTCCCTCGCAATACCGCTCTACTAGGATCATCTTCCACGGTGAGATGCGCAGCTCGATAAGACCTCTTGTCGATGAGAGCAAGACACGTTAAACAAAGATTCACTCAAATGGAGGATGGGGACTCGAGGCTCCTGTGAGTCGCTTCCAAGAATCCAAGTAGCTGTGTCATTCACCTTGAGAGACGACTCAGGCATAAAACCCGACCGCTCGAAGAAGCCAGCCGGACAAGAAAAAAAATTCTCCCCGGAGTTTCTGTGCCGGTTCTTGGGAAGTTCGGCACCCCCAGCATTGAGCGAAACACCATCTCTAGGGCCCAAGACCATTCGATAAAAGCCTCGTCGCGATTTCCCGCCAGGACAGACGAACTGGCCCAATACTATATGTGGGGAGTAAAACGAGAAATCTGGAGCTCCAGAATTTTCCAGAGTTGATGAGCGCCTACGAAGCGGAGAAACGGAGAGGCGCTGGGAACCCGAAAAAGAGTGCATTCTTGACGGAACGACGCGAATTATGAGGAACTCTCTCCTCAAATTTCGGAGCGCTTGATGGATACAAGTTTCGGGCTTCACGGGTAGAATGTTATACCGCGCGGAAGAGCAGCAGCTTTCTCATCCCGATGTTGTTCCTCTTTACGCAAGTGCGTCAGCCAAACTGTTCAATGATGTAAAGCCGGATGTTTGCGTCGGCGACGTCCTGTCCTAAGGCAGACGATTCCCTGAACGGTGCTGGTAGGGTGGGTTTTTATGCACTTCGAGTGCTGCTTTTACATCGCCGGAGCTTTCAGTCTATTTTCGCTCACCCTCAACGGTAATCGCAGCAGCTTTTCACCTTCCCGAGCTCTCGCTTGAGGTTTACCCGTTTCTGTTGAAAGCGAGAGAAAGGCACTTTGAGAAACGCCACCCAGAATGCTGCAAACTCGGACTCAAACGCGAGTCGTGGACGAATGCTCGACCACGAGCCGGAAAAACGTTTCGACGCCCAGTCGACACCGTGCAAACGTCCAGAGAATCGCCCGGACCGCGTTCGTCCGCACTTGGACGGGCTTACACAAGAACTCAGAGCTGTTGTGTGAGCCGATAGGAGTAGCAGCTGTCCGCGACGTCACCACAAAAGGGGAGTCGGAGTTTGCAAGTGTCACGAACGAAGTCCTCCCCCACTTGTCACCCCACTGACGTGGCCGCCCGTCGAAACTTCACAAATGTTCCAGGACTCCGTTCGTCATCCAGATCCTCCCATGGTGCTGAACAGAAACGATTACCGTGTGAAATCACGCCAGATGGACAAGAGCGGTCGGCTCGACAAATATGTGGGGGACGCAGTTTTCGCAAATTCGGCAGCGAATCTCATTCAACCCAAGTTCCGCGTTCTCGCTTCAGGGCGTAGCTAGGCGTCTTTCGCAGGAAAGGCCCCTCTTCGGATTTAGGCTAACACTTGCTGACTTCTGGCTTTCGGGAGACGTGCACGCTCAAGGTAGAATTCTGATTCCTCCGGAGAAGCAATGGCCTCGCCCCTCTCCATGGGGAATATCTCACACGGATGGAGTGTGCGGTCAATGCATGGCGAAAGGATCGAAGGTAGGCTAGTATCGATTCATGGGTATGAATGTCTGGTCTCCTCGGGACGCCCGCATGGCTAGAGATTCCTCTAGACCCGCGCGAACAATGCGAGAGCAGCCGCACAATTTTCCATGAGTATATGATGCTGAAGGCAGCGATCATCAATTCCATCTGGAGCCCTCAAGTTTTACAAACAGAGGCTTCGGTGGACAGAATCGCGAGGAAGCTATGATGCTCCTTCGCTCCGGAGACTTCTGCTTATCGCTACCGCAGCTCAACGAGGGAAAATTGATACACTGAAGCGCCGTCCTCCGAGGGGAGGAACTTTGTGTTTTTATTCGCGACCTTGCATCGGGGAAACCTCTGGTCAGAGTGGCTCCTTTCTCTTTTGATCGATCACCGCGGGTCAGCGGAAGTACTTGACGCTGCTGACGACCTCCAACAGTGAGCTGAGTGCATTCCATGGTTCAGTCGAACGAGCGCAGGTCCCGCAACTTTGCTCTGCGTCTCGAGTATTGGGATGCGGAGCAAACGGAAGAGACGTCCGCGCCAAGTGACCAAATCACTTCAGAGTGCCTTCACATTATTTCCCAATCTGGACAGATAGTGCAAGCCAGAGCGTAGCGAGCCCACCGGTCAGAGCAAATACTCGAGTACCTACGCTCCCGATATTCCACACGAAGGCACCACAGGGTCGCGGTAATATCGCCAACTGATCCGTCGAAGATGAGCAATGCGTCGGCTTTCCCCTCGGTTCGTCTCTCGCTGACTACGACCTGTCTCTCCGGGAACCGAGCAGGAAAGATCTTTCCACTCACCTCTATTTTTGGCGTGAACCACAGAGCAACTGCCTACACGAGTTCCCAAGCGCCTGGAAAACATGAGACATTGAATGGAAGCCCCTTCTTCTCCCCTTGTAGCGATCTGTCATGGCTCCCCGTCGATGTGAATCGGAGGTCTTCGGTATATGGCAGAACGTGCCATAGTTATCTCGACTCGAGTTATTTCTTGACTAATTAAAACATGATTCGACTTATTGACAGATGGGAGCCGTTCTGAAAGCTGTCCGACCCTATTGCTCGCGAATATAGAAGTCGATCGCGAGAAAACAGTTCATTGGACCACAGAGACGATCCTGTCATCGATGAAGCGAACACATCAGGTGACGCTCCTCTCAAGGACTCCGGATATCGCGCTCGATCGGCGCATCCGCAGGACAGTCTCCGAAACGAGCTCCCGCAGAACAGTCTCCGAAACGTCGGTCACGCCGTCCATCGAGCAATGCGTCTGACAGAAGGTCGGCCAAAGCTCCTGGAGAGAAGAATGACAAACTTACGCTGCAATTTTCTCCGCTAAATCGATGTGGGAATTCCCCGCGAGAATGACAATATCCGATGGACTTGGAAGTTTAGCCATATTGTTGCGCGTTCGATGTTCTCTGAGAAGAAACGGCGCTGTATTCATAGCCCTCCGCCTGCCAGCCACGAAGTCCCTATCACGGAATTCACGAAGAGTCACCGCTTGGCGCGTCGCGCGTAGGGGCTGACGCACGCACCACGAAACAGAAAAGACTTTGTCTTATTTGCGCTGTTGCCGTCGATGAGAACGACGGTCAAACACGACAACAACAACAGCAGCACTGAATCCGGATGAGGGGGACTCGCTGCGTGGTCGACGAAATTTTCCACCGGGAGCTGGTGGGTGCTTCTCTGGACCGAAAACTTCTGCACTCAGGTGCACGTGGAATCAAACGAGGAAACACCACGGAAGATTCTACAATCCGAACATATGAGAACAGCGGATCCGAAGGCGACGGACCAGAGCAGACGACGAATCGGCTGCTGTTGCCCTCGGAGCTGAGGTTCGCGCGGCGGCAAGTTTCAAAACTCCGATGCCTCACTTCACTTACGCGGAGACGTCCGAATCTGTTCGTCGTAACCCGAGCCGGGGAGTTTTTTTCGGCAACGGTCAGGATTCCGGAGTTCTTTCTTTTTCTTATCTACGAAGAGAAGACACGCGCTTTTTCCGTTCACGATATCACTGCCCTCTCTTTTTATCACGTGCATGTTTCGGACTTGAACAATCGTCTTCTCTCTCGGCGCGATCGCGCGCTCTGTACTGTTATCACAGATATCCTCGTTTCCAGAAATTTAGCACTCCCCCGCGAAACGGGACTCGAGTTCTACCAGGTGCAGCTTTATCTATCGTCAATTTCTAAGGGACACAACAATTGAGCCGCGCGGCGGGTGACGGTGCCTCCAGCGAAACTTACGGTGCATGTCCTGATCTCTCCATCCCGGGATGCGCGGCCTCGACACGCACAAGCGGCCACTTGATGCGAGGAGAATTATCTTCCTTTACCATACAGACGTCTCCAACCCGGATGGAGCGTTCTGAGCTTCCTCGAAGGGTGTTCGCCGTCCGCAGCTGGAGCAGATACTCACGGTACCATCGAACCGAGAGATGCTTGGAGTACGCCGTGCGATGAGCGTGCTCCTGCCGGAGCTCTTTTCCGCCGGGGACCCCGTTCGGACCCAATTCGTCGAGGGGTATGATGGTGGCGAACGACGAATCTATCCGGCCTCCCCGCAAGAAGTCGGCCGGCGTCAGAGGATTGACATCGTCAGGTTCGGTTGAGGCATGGGTGATTGGTCGCTCGTTGATCACTGTGGCGAGCTCCGCAATGATCATGCGCAGCTCCTCGAACTGCGCCCGAGAGTTTTGGTGAGCGCGACCTCCACCGTCCCGACCGAACGCTCATAGAAGCCGCCTTGCCGTAGTGCTCGCGGTACAATGAAACTTCAAGTGAAGGCGCGGTCGGCCAACAGATCGCGGACTTCGCGATTATTCACCGAGTTGAAGACCCTCCTGAGGTCGGTCGATGCCTTGACAAACGAGCGGGCATTGTCCGAGATCAAAGTCCGGCAACCAGGATACACGCTCAGGAATCTCCTGATTGCCGAGTGGGTCTGCGCTGCGGTCATCGATGGGACGAGCTCGAGGTGAACTCCACGAACGCTTGAGCAGGTGAAGAGAGCGATGTAACTTTTCTGATGGCCCTCCCGACTTCGCGTGTAAAACAGAAATCTAGCCCCGCGCAGGCAAAAGGAACCGTTAATGTCACTCGGGTAGCGAGCCCACCCTGGCGTCTTCTGCATATCACACAGCGCCGGAGCAATGACTTCACAATCTGGCGTGCCCGGGTGATCCACAATCGTTTTCGGAGCTGGCTGAGGACGACGTTCACACCGAAATGCGCGTTCACGCGGTGTGCGTCCAGCATGAGAAGTTTCGCCAACCGGGACTCTCTTGGGAGGACTATCGGATTTTTGTCGTCATAGGTGTAAAACGGACCCTCAGTGACTCGAGTGCGGGCCCGCAATAGAGGAATCCTAGTTTTTGGGAAGCTGACTTGGCCATGTTTGCTATGTGATGGTGCCATTTGAGGTTTGATGAAAGATGAAAGGCACACGCCTAAAATAGAGATATTCGATGAAGGAAGTAGCGTTTCGTTGTCAAAAGAGATGGTAGGACTAAAGGGCTTGGTTTTCTTCGTGAAACGGGTAAGCTGCGTCTTCAGGGAATTGAATTGGACCAAATTAGTTGAGCCCCATTGCAGAGTCTTCCGGAGATCGCAATCGATGGAGGAGAGCAAGGTGCTTCGAGAGGAATTTGTGTGAGTAGAGGTCGGAGGTCGGCTGCTTCGTGAAAGAGTAACCAGCATGGAGTGTACTGTCGTCGGCAAAGCTGTGTATGGGATTTGTAGTGGAGGCGAGAAGATCATTGATGTGCAACAGGAAGAGAGTTGGAGAGAGTACAGAGCCTTGGGGTACACCTGCGTTGATTGGGAATGATTTTGAGAGGGCGCCATCGGCCATAACCTTGATAGAACGTTGACAAAGGAAGCTTGAAATCCAGTTGCAGAGATTTGGTTGGAGACCAAAGGAAGGGAGCTTATTGAGGAGAGCGGCATGCCAAACACTGTCGAATGCCTTGGAAATGTCCAGAGCAACAGCAAGGGTCTCGCCATGTTTTTCAATAGCAGAGTTCCAAAGATGGGTGGTGTAGAGCAGAAGATCGCCAGTGGAGCGACCCTTTCGAAAGCCATACTGCCGATCACTAATGAGGGAGGACTGCTCGAGATGGGAGAGGAGCTGGGAGTTTACGGCTTTTTCCATAACCTTGGATAGGATGGAGACGAGTGAAATGGACGATAATTAGAGGGCGAAGATTTGTCGCCATTTTAAGGATAGGTTGAACGAGGGCAAGCTTCCAGCAAGCTTGTGTTTCGGTTAGAAAAAGGAAGAAGGGGCGTTCAGTCTCGAGATGTCGGTGGACCGAGGCAAGGTTAGAATGGAGGCCTCTGATGTTGCAAAAATGAATGGAGAGATTGCAACAGGGGGTTGCGGAAATCTTGGAGGCCGCAGAAGGTTGAGTATTTGCTGGAGTGTTTTGGTTCATGGTTTGGAGGTTTAGGGTGAATTTTTGAAAAAAAGAGGGAGACAAATCCTCGAGCGGAAATCGACCGACGAAAGCCCGCGAGACGTCGTCGAGACCGTAGGTGGCGGACCCTCGGCAGTACCTCCCGAACGATCCTGCTCGGTTCCCCTCCAGTCACGAGCTGGCAGAACGAGACCATCGAGATTATACACCACATGGTGTGGCAGCCTCCGGATGCGTTACTATCCGGTTCGGGCCACTGTACTTTATGGCGGTCAGCCCGCGGAAACTGTTTCACTGCTGTACCCTTTCCACTCCAATGGTCATAGAGGGCCCATGGGCTGGGCCAGCCGACCTCCCCCGCGGACGCGATGAGAAGAGAATGAGAGAAAGGTTGAGAGTAGTCGAAGAAGTAGAACATAGTAAGAAAAGTCAAGGTTGAGCGGGAAAGAAAGGATAGATAAGATGATAGATAAAGAAAGGATGGATAAGAAGTTGAGAGGATAGGCGTCGCTAGCCGCGGAAGAGCAATCGAATACGATTCTCCACTTCTCGGGGTTCCCTCGCGTGGTGAGGACCGAATGATGAGGCATGTGATACGTCCCATCAACATCGTTCGAGGACTCGGGACGGAACTCTCGAACCTCCGATGCGTAGCCGTCGTAGACAAATTCGCTAATTTCATGATGATATCTTCCGTACTTCTCGGGGTTCTTCCGTAGATGAGTGACCTGCTTCCGGACGCGATCTAAGGCGACCTGTTTGTTGTTCTTCAGCTCGGCGATGGAATCCTTTTCCGGGAACAAGACCGTGTATCTCTTCCCATCGTACTGGAGCGTTTCGTTGAATTGCTGGATGGCGCTCTCCTCGGCCGCCGTCAGGTCACCAGACTCCGACTCGTCGCTGATTCCTATCCCCTCGCGCAGCCAAAACCTTTGAACATCGTTGGGCGGGACCGAGAGCGTCGCAGTGCAACATTGATCCTGGATGGCGATTACCGTGGCCTTGACCGAACCGTGCGCCTGGGTCGCTGTGGTGTTTCCCGAGACCGGTCCCGCGACTGACTAACCCAGGCACGAATCGTTTGCCCAGATTAAGCCACAAACCGGCACTGGTGGACTTCTTGAGAAGATCTTATGAATCTCGTCCATACCGACCAGAAGGGCCCGTGCTTCTCGCTCCCACTCTCCGACCAGCGAACGGTCGGCGACGGGATGAGATATGTTAAAACCGGCGATCGCCGCGGATACCGACGGGGGACACGAAAGTCGTGCTCGTAAGCGAAAAGCTCAACCACTCGGTCCGTTCGGGTACTGCGGAGCTGTGTGCGAAATTTCCCGGCAGTGATAACAAAGGAGTCGGAAAAAGCCTTGATCGCCAGATTCGCACGCTGCACCGGACTCTCGTTGACGAGCAACCCTCTGATGCGGGGAGCAACAAACGTGAGAGTGCTGCCGGGATCGAGGAATATCCTTACGGGAACTCGCAAGCCGCCGTTGATAACGTACGCGGAACCGGCATACATGAGCGTACTCTCGGCGACATAAAGGCAGGACGAGACCCCCGACGCGATGGCAGCCGCGACGGAGGCCGTTCCGCCAGCGGTCCGATCCTCGTCCGCATCTTTGTGCATAGATGTGTAGTGATTGTAGGATTTGCACCTCTCACACGGATGCCGCGGACCCCCACAGTCGGCTGGCTTGGGATGGTCCAGACGGAAGTATCTTGGGCAGCGTTTAAGTTTTGACAGTTTCTCCATTTCTTTCCGTGGGTCAGGGAAGCGGCACACGTAGATGAGTTGTGTGCCATCGTCTCGCAGGCACGGTCGCGGCTCAAACACTCGATTGGTTTGGCGGGTGTTTATCGCGCTCACCGTTGCATGCGAGCGTCCTCGCTGATAATCGCTTGCCGATCTCCGCGACTTCACCTCTTCTCGTCGCACACATGACGGGTCCGCGGACCCCTCAGCGTAACCC